AACTGAGGAAATCTGTGGTCAGTAGAGCTGCCTTGCAAGAAATGTTAAAAAAAGTGCTTCAGAGAGAAGGAAAATAATAAAGGTCAGAAACTTAGATCTACATAGAGGAAGAGTGAGAAAATAAAGGTAAAACAAAATCTTTAATTTTTCTTATTCTTAATTGACCTAATAGATACCTGATGTTTTAACAGCAACGATGTGCTGGGTGATCACAATATATGGATACATGAAATAAATGACAGCAATGTTATAAGGGACGGGAGAGAGGAAATGGGAATGTTCCGATATAAGGAACCTGTACTACCCATGAATCAGTATAGTATTATAATGAAAGTGAATTTAAAGTAGTTTTTAGTGGTTGCCCTAGACTGTGCCATGTGCATTTACAATTAATCAACAGATAGGGAAGGAAGAAATTAAAATTTCTTTGTTCACAGATGATATGACTATAAACAATCCCAAAGAGCTGACCCCCAAAATTTTACAAAATTGACCCAAAGAATTGATCAAACACTTCTGAAACCAATAAGTGGTAATAGCAAGATTTCAGGATATAAGGTTAATATGCAAACACCAATTGTTTTCCTATATATGAGCACTGTACAATTGAAACTCGAAATTATAAACACAGCATCACTTATATTAACATCCCTCAAAAAACCCTAAAATAATTAAGTATACATTTTTTAATGTATAAGATTTACATGAGGAAAACTATAAAATGCTGATGAGAGAAATCAAACAAGATCTGAATAGGTGGAGAGCTATTTCATGGCCTTGGGTAGGAAGGTTCACTGTTGCTTTAGGTGCCAGTTTTTCCCAGTGTGACCCACAGGTTTAATACAGTCTCAATCAATAACCAGTGTATGATACATGACATTATGTGTTTGTCAAAATCTATACAACTGTACAATGCAAAGTGTGAACTTCAGTGTAAAGACTTCGATTAATAATAATATATGAATGCTGGATCATTAATTATTACAAATATGTCACACTAATGCAAAATTCTAATAATAAGGTAAGTTGTGCATGGGGTACAGAGGATACATGGGAAATATCCCTACAAGTTGCCCAATTTTTCTGTAAATCTAAAACTACTCTTAAAAATAAAATTTATATGTATAAAAAATTTACAAACCATCATGAGGTACTATTAAATTCCATTCAAATGGCTAAAATTATAATAACTGACAATATCAAGTGTTGTCAAGGATGCAGAGCAAATGGCAATCTCATGCCCTGTTGACAGGCATGTAAAATAGTACAACCACTTTGGAAAACAATGTGCAAGTTTCTGTGTCTCCCTTACTTCACTTAGCACATGTCCTCCAGGGTCATATGTGTTACTGCAAACATCAGGATTCCCTTATCCACTCGTCCGCCTGGGGACACTGTGGTTGCTTCTCCCTCCTGGCTGCTGTGAATAATGCTGCAGTGAACTTGGGGGTGCAGATATCTCTTAAAGACAGAGGGAATACATGTCTTTGAATAAGCACCCAGGAGTGGGATTGCTTGAAGTTCTCTGTGTACATTTGTTGCCTCCGTCTCGTTAACAAGGGAAATGAAGCTCAGTGAGATCAGGTAGCTTGTCCCAACCATCCAAGCTGTTATTACTTTGCAGATAATGAGAGAGATTTAAAGCCAGGCCTTTCTGACTCCAGCGCCCACGCCTCTAACACACACACACACACGCAAGTGTGCCAATGAAATAAATTCCAAAATCATTCCCCCAACTTATGTACAAAGCTGTGCTTACCTGGTATAATCCAGGAAGTCTCCTCTGAATAGAAACTTTAGAAAAGATAATATTACAAAAGAGTTCTATGTAACTCTAAGAACACTGAAACATCTTGGAAAGAAATATTAGGAATTTTCCCCCCGAATTTCTATCTCCCAATCACAGGAATTTTTGTCTGTTGCCTGTCCAGGAAGCATGTTTCAGGGGTCGTAAAGAAAACAGCACTCAGTGGCAATTGGGGGGTGCATGAGCACCTCCTCAGGAATCTCAGTTAAACCCCCTCCGTTCCCTGACGTTCCCTTGGTCTTCAGCGCAATGAAGTGCAGCGTTGGGCCCCGTTACACACCACGTGGCTGGAAGGCAACTCCGTGGAAGGAGATAAGAAAGCCCCGTGGGCTGTGCTGTGGCACCAGCAAGCGTGAGTAAAACACTGTGACTCCCTGTCGTTGACACTCTTACGGGGAGTAGGCAGCTTATGTCTCCCCCTCACCGCATCAGCTCGCGCTCGCTGACCTCAGCTTCTCGGGGGAAAGAAGGGGTCTCGCCCCCGCTGCCCTCCTGCCGCCGCCCAGCAGCCCCAACGGCCACCGCGAGGGGAGCCCAGTGGGCTGGGGCCCCGCTGGGGGCCCGGGGTCAGAGGCCACCGCCCGCCGCAGCTGGCTGTTCGCCACACTGCTCCTGGCGACAGGCGGGGCCCTCGTGCCAGGCCCTTCTCCTCCCGCACATGAGGGGGCTTGGCCATACGGGGATCCATTCAAACTGATTGCCCGCGCTTGGTGAAAAAACTCCTCCATGGGAGATACTGTTGGTGAGATTTGTATAAGCTGAGGGTCTTTTGAGATGTTCTCATTTAAGCCCCCGCTTCCAAATGCATCCTGGAAGCTTCTGGGGGAATGGTCAGACTCCTAGGTCGGTTCCTCACCTACTTCTACTGTTGCTGAACTCTATCAAGACGTTAGGATTTACTGGCTTGTCCAAAGGCCCTCACCGAGCCCCGCGCCGTCATGGGTTAACATGGCAGTGGATGGCGAAGCCTGACTGCGGAGAGGAGAGCTCGGAGGGCTATGGAGTCCACGCTGCCTGGCCTCCGGGGAGAGATGAGGCACTGCCCCCTTGGAAACGGCTTCTCCTTTTAAATATTTTCTCTGTATTCACAGGGGCCCAGGAAACATTGTGCGTGGGCCAGATGTCACGGAGGAGCATGCCTGCACTTCAAGGATGAGCTGAGCCCTGCGCATCTTTGGGAAGTGATGTACGAGGTAGAAAAGTGATAAAAGAAATGGTGAAAAATACACGTGACTGTTTAAACGTAATACTGAACTCATTAACTGTTCAAAGCAAATATGCTGCTATTAAAATTTGTTCAAGAATCATGCGAGTCTGGAAATAAACACCTCATAAACTATGTTTTCAAATATCACATCAGAAAAAATTAGATGAAACCAATAAGAGAGAGGAGTTATATAAAAAAGATTACATTCTTCTGTCTTCTGTATTGGAAAGAAAATAGTTTTAACTTTTATTTTTTATCCTCGCCTGAGGACATTTTTTAAAAAAGGTTTTATTTATTTTTTTTTTAAAGAGAGGGAAGGGAGGGAGAAAAAGGATAGAAGTGTTGATCAGGGGAACCTTTTGGTGTGTGGGGTGATGCCAAACCAATTAAGCCTCACCAGCCGGGGCCCAAGCACATTTCGGAGAGAGAGAAAGGGAAAGAGAAAAACATCCGTGCAAGAGGGAAGCATGGATTGGTTGCCTCCTGTACTTGTGAAGACCAGGGGTCACATGTGAATATGCTGGCCTGAGGGTCAAACCCACAACTTAGACATGTGCCCTGACTGGGAATCAAACCCACAACCTTTCACTTATGGGATGACGTGCCAACCAACTGAGCTACGCTGGCCAGGGCTGACGGACCTTCTCAAAGTTGGCAAGTTTCCATTGTAAAACAGAAAATTTCCCATCATTCCATGAAAGAGTGGCCTGGAATTCAGAAATGCACTGTACCCTGGATTGTAACGAATATGGAATTTCTTAGTATTTTCTATTTTGGTAAATACTAAAATTAAAATAACCTTATTTTGTTGACTCTGCCATTGTTAAGAAACAATAGCATGAAAATTCTAAATAATGAGAAATGGGTTTGATTTTAACTTATGGAGAGTTAGACTAATGGGGTACTTTTCAGTGCATTAAGCGTTCAAGCCATGGCGTTAGAAGAAAAGAGCCCCAAAAGGCAAGCCCAGGGCTGTGCTTGTGGGGCACACTTCTTTTCTTCCCTAAACTTTAAAATGCTCGGCAGGTGTTAATGAATCACACCTATCTAAGAACTACATATTGTAAAATCTAACTGTCAGAACCCCAAACTAAGACCTGGCCTAAGATTCAGTCTAGGAATCTTAGACCGAATTCATGCCCAAGGGCTTAGGGGAGAAAGCGGCAGTATCAGCCAACGATGAGCTGTGGCTTATCTGCCCACTCATCACTTTAATTAAAGCACCGCTGTTTCATTGGCAGTCGATTCTAATAATCTCCGTTTCAAGGAAAAGACCGTTTACTTAAAATCCTCGGAGACTTGTCCCATCTAAAACAAAAACACGCGTTAAAAAAAAAAAAATGCCATCCTTTCCAACTGGCCGTGTCGCTGGGTGTTCTCTGGAATGGTCCCAGAGTGATCCTTCACTCCCCTGAACCTTTGACAGTCTTTGTAAAAGCCTGTGATTTTTGTCAGCCAAGAGTTCAGCAAATGCTGTCCTTGGAAACCTGGCGGGGGGTGGCGGGAGCCGGGGGTCTTATCGCCGCGGCATCTGCCCGCCGCGGTCGCCCGACCTTCCCCACCGGGAAGCAGATAACAGAAAGTGTCCTGCCCGAGGCCCCAGCGCCGAGCGTGATTAGAAATCAGGGAACGGCGGGCCGCTCGGGCTCCCTCCCCCGCGGGCTGAATTATAGCTCTCCTACCAGTCCCAGGGCGCTGGATGATGTCATGGGATCTGCAGTGGAGCGAGATGAAAGGGATAAAGCCGAGCCCGCCGCCGGCGCTCGGCAGCTTCCAGCGCGCAGCCCGCGGCTCAGCTCGGGAACCGCCGCGCGGCGCGGATCCCGCCCCTCGGCCCGGGCTGGGGAGAACCGCCGGTATTGCCTCCTGGGGGGGGGAAAAAAAGGGACGGTGGGGGGTGGGGGGAGGAAAACAACGTGATCCATGTTAAACAAAAGAATCTGCGCACCGATGCGGACTCCGCGGCGGGAGGCTGCCTGCCTACCTGCCGAAAGTGCACTTTCGGGCCATCCCTGCTTACGTAGGAACCGAGCCCTGCCTTTGATGTTCGGCCACTGATCACCGATCGGATTACGGGCATTTCATCTCCCTGCTGCCCCGCCTTTGATCTGCGTGGTTAATTTTATTTTCCTGGATTGGGAGTTTCGTCTGGGCTTGTGCTGACACACGGCTTCGGGGAGGTGGAAGCGTTTGGCACGGCCGCGCTGCCAAGGAGGAGCGAGGCTGCCGGAGCTGCCGGAAGGGTGAGGGCTGGAAAGCGTTCCAAGCCCGTTGCAGGTACAGCTTTTTACGTTCGGCGGCGGCTTCGGCTTCGCTTTTCCGGTGGGTTCCGAGAAAGAGGGTTGGGCTCGTCGGAGGACCCAGCGTTCTGCCTTTGACTGCCACGCTGGGCTCGGTGTCTCTATCGGGGTCTGTAGGGCACCCGGGGCCGTGTGAGTAGCTTGTGCAAAAGGGCGATTTGCAATCTGTCATGCGGATTTTACTTGGAAAAGAGTTGTTCAAACAGGACAAAAAAAAAAAAAAAAAAAAAAAAAACAGTGCTGCCTTGAGCACAGAACCCAGACTCCAGAGGCTGAGCACAGGGAACCCTGGCTGCTCTAGGAATTCACCGGCTGCTTTATTTAGTAAACAGGCGCTGGGACTCTCCTTGAGGCCAATGTTTTCTTATATAAAAGGGGGCGGTGCATCTCTGTCGTTTCTGTATTCTCTCACCTCCAAGGTGTAAACCCATCAAACACATTTCTCTGTGTGGTTTGTATCCCCGAGGGAAGCCCGGGAAAGTCCTTCAAGTGTGATTACAGCTTTTTCTGTGCACGCCTGGAGAATTTTTCAGACAGCGAGGGTGCCGTGGGGGCTCAGTTTGGGTTAGCAAATGCTCTAGTGCTACTCGACTCCGCAATCTTTGAAAACAGCACAAGCCTTATATTCACAAACATTTGCAAGGTTAATATTCCTAAATTAATATTGACTAAGTGTATAGTGACAGCTGTTGTAAGTTACAGTTGGCCAACTGTTTATGAAAACTATCTGAGCAATCAACAGTTAACTATGTGACATGAAGCTGTTACTCACGTTTTCACTTTGGTTTATACTCAACGGGGTAAAACCTAAAACCAAAATATATTGGTGTGCAAAATTGGAAAGTTAACTTTTTTTGTGTGTGTCTGGGTCAATTCACTACACATACACACACTCATACACACAGAGTAAAATCTTTACATTGCGATGCAAGAACTTACTACAGTGGAAAAGTGAGAGTTCCATGTTTAGGTCAGTTCATCTGACCGGTATAGACCTAAATTGATTTGGGTGAAGTGTTTAATTATCATCACAAGCAACAGTCTATTTTATGCTCTGTGAACCACAAAGAAATTGTAAGTGAAAAGGCCAGTCATCCTTTCGTCTGAAATTCTGATGAAACAAGAAAGACCTAATGAGGCTCATTTCAGACGTAATTAATTTTTCGGAGCCAATTAATTAAATTACTTTCTAAACTCTCCTCCTAATATTAGAAGGAGGGTAATTAGCACTGTTGGCTTAATTTTAAAACTTTGATAGCTGTGAAGTGGAGATTACTTTAAACCATACTAAGCTGACCATATTTTTCTGAATGTGTCAGTAAGAATTGAATCTAAAAGACTAAACTGTTGCTTGTAGTCATTCCAGGAGAGACATTTAAGGTTTTGTTTTACTGACCATATAACAAAGCATGTTCACAATGTCCTGGATTATCAGTTTAGTTTGATTTTTCATTTGTTTACTTAAAAATTCTCTTTAAATCACAAAAGGAGTATTAATATTGTCAGGTAAAGAAAATTAAGCTTTTAAAGTAATAACTAGAGAAGATGCCTAAAGAAATAGTGTGCTTAGGAACTCGACCATTTAGTTCAGATTTGGGAATTTAAAAATTTTTTCAAATGACTGTTTATTCTGTTACTAGGTTCACATCAACAAATGCAGCCTCTACTCAGCACAAAACAAAAGGGAGAATTAGCAATTATCTGATTAATTTAGACTTTGTCGAAAACTAGCTTGGGCAAGTCAAGTCTTTGAAAATCCACTTCAGTGTCTGAATTAATTCAGTCAATTGTTTACTTCATGCTTGTATATTCTTTGAGAAATGAAACAGATTCTGTTTGATTTGAAAAGCAAGATGGCTATTGCTGAATGTGCAGGTACTGTTTCAGAAGACATTTTTTAATTGCCCCCTGGTGATCTTGACTATGGTTTAAGTAGATATACTCCATAACACTCCTACTGAACGAAACCTTTATATTACATTTTTTCAAAGCACTTTCCTATCTGTTGCTTCAATGGCAGCTTTGTTACTGCAGAAAGTCCAACTCTTCAAAAGACTTTTATTTCTAGTCATGATTCTGTCACTGATTAGCTATGTGACCTAAAGAGACTCACTTCACTACTCAGTTCTCCCATGTGCAAGCTGAAGGAATCGATCAGATCATCCTCAGGAAATAAACGGTGGAATTTTCATAGCCATTTCACAGATGAGGAAACTGAGACTAGAGAGAAGTACCTGGATTATCTTAACTAAGGGCACATGGCTAGTTTTGCAATGCCGTGTCCCTTCTAGTTCACCATGCGTAGTCCATTTTCCAACAACTGCAAAAACAAACGCACTGGGCAGCTGATCAAAGGACAGTGTTGGTTTGAATCATAGAGACAGCCACTTCCTATGGCAATACGTTTTTTTTTCCTTTCTGTGATAGACACGCCAGTCAACTGGATTCGTCTGGTTATTTCCCAACTGTTCCTTTGGCTGCTGTATTTCTTAGTAGTCTAAACACAATTATTACTGCACATAATTTACCATAACATTTAAAATAGTACTCCCCCAAAATTTAATATATCATGCAATGTGGAATTATATATATGTGCCTGTGTGTATGTGTATCTACAGGTTTGGCATTGTGTAAGCACATCTTTTGTGTGTTGCCAAGGAATGGAAGATGTCACTGGGGTCCATGGGAAGTTTAATTGCTAATTAAACATTGTTACTCCTCAAGGGAAATTCCCAGTGGGATTTTATGGGATAAATAAGTCTCTTATTTAAGTCTCTTAAATATTTCATGTAGTACTGGCCTAGTGATGATGAACTCCTTTAACTTTACCTTGTCTGGGAAGTACCTTATCTGCCCTCCCATTCTGAATACTGTAGCTTTGCTGGATAGAGTAATCTAGGTTATAGGTCCTTGCCTTTCACCACTTTGAATACTTCTTGCCTGCAAAGTTTCTTTTGAGAAATCTGCTGACAGTCTTATGGGAGCTCCTTTGTAGGTAACTCTCTGCTTCTCTCTTGCTACTTTTAAGATTCTCTCTTTATCTTTAACCTTTGGCATTTTAATTATGATGTGTCTTGGTGTGGTCCTCTTTGGGTCCAACTTGTTTGAGATTCTCTGTGCTTCCTGGCCTTGCATTTCCTTCACCAATTTAGGGAAATTTTCTTTCATTGTTTTTTTGGATAAGTTTTAAATTTCTTGATCTTCCTCTTCTCCTTCTGAAATCCCTATGATACGGATGTTGGTACGTTTGAAGATATTCCTGAGGGTCCTTACACTATCCCTGTTTTCTTTTTTTTTTTATTCTTTTTTTCTTCTTGCTGTTCTGGTTGAATGTTTATTTCTTTCTTATGTTCCAAATCATTGATTTGAATGCCAGCTTCCTCCCCTTCACTGATGGTTCCCGGTGGATTTTTCTTTATTTCACTTAGTGTATCCTTCATTTCTTCTTTCTTGTTGCTGCCGTACTCAGTGAGTTCTCTGAGCATCCTGATCACCAGTTTTTTGAACCCTGCATCGGATAGGTTAGTTATCTCTGTTTTATTTAGTTCTTTTTTGGGGGGGGGGGGGGGGGGCGTTGTCCTGTTCTTTCATTTGGGCCATATTTCTTTGTCTCCTCAATTTGGCAGCCTCCCTGTGTTCGCTTCTTTGACTCCCTGTCTTAGTAGAGCTGCTTTGACTCCCTGTCTTAGTAGCATGGCCTATTGTAGAAAAGGCATCTCTAAATTGTGTGGGGCAGAGCCTTAGGTAGTTGCCAGGGTGGAGCAACCCGCTTTAGCACTTTGTGGCTCTGTGTGGGGGGAGGGCTCAGAGAGGGGACAGTATCAACATCTGGCTTTTGTATGTTTGCCTGGCACCCGCCCCATTTACAGTCACTTCAACCACTTCCCTATGCGACTGGTGCCCTTCCAGCAATTGCCCTGGTGGTGAATCCCAGAGAGGTGGGTTTGGGTACATTCTAAATCAGTGTGGACCCTTTAAATGGAGTTTCCTGAAAATCCGGCAGTTTCTTCCCCTGCCCCAACCTTTACTGGTTTTTACAGCCAGAAGTTATGGGGAGTTATCTTCCCGGCACTGAAACATGGGGCTCTGCGGTCTGGCCTGGGCCTGGGACCACTCACCTGCAAAGTATCCCTCCCAATTTTTATCCACCACACAGTGAATGTGGGACTGTCCCTTCTGCTGCTGCCTCTCTGCGCCACACTGCTTCTCTCTGCCTCTTTGTCTGTCTCTGTCCCTCTTGCCTGTCTGGGTGAATGTGGCTTCTCTAAATCCTTGGTTGTCAGACTTCCATACAGCTCGATTTTCTGATGGGTCTGCATGTTGTTTTGAGATCTAGTTGTAATTCATTCTATGGTTGCCTGAGGAGGCAAAGCATGTCCATCTATGCCTCCATCTTGACCGGAAGTCTATTAAGTTTCTCTGTTATAAGAATGATATAGAGCTGAACTGAACTGTTAGCAAACATTGTAGCCAAAATTTTGGCTGAAAAATGGGTTCTGCTGTTTTTCTTTCTTTTAATATATTTTATGGGAGCTATTAGAAGTTTTGGATCGAGCTTTCCATCAGTTGACCTAGAATCTTCAGCTATAAAGGGTGTCGAGACATAATCCATTACTCCTCTACTTCAGGACTGGAACACACTCAAGCATCCTTTGATGGCAGGGCCAGTCCAAGAAACCCCGGGAAAATTTAATAATTTGGTGCCCCTTTAAAGAGTGATTCTTTAAAAGTTTGTCAGCCCAGTGTGGAAGGATGGGCAGTGAGAGGAGGGCAGCCGAAGTCTCCGTGGCAGCTGTGCTTAGTTTCTCCTCTACCGTCACATGTCACGGCTTTGGCTCCAAGTCCCCCAATGCGCTGAAATCACTACTCAGCAAGCTTCACGTCCTTAGACTGAGAAGTACTTTAACATCCTTCACGGTGACGTATCTTTGCTCCCTAGTGAGAAGGGCGAGGTGGGGGGTGTCGAGCAACTTTATC